TCGATCCCTGGTACCAAAAAAAAAATATATATATATATATATATATACATATATATATATATAAAACCATTTAGATTGAGTGGATCAGCCTAGGACACACTTATCAAGGGTACAAAAAACTTAAATGGTGGAGGAAAGTTTGAACTGAAACCCAAAAACGATGTCTGGTATGTGGAAAATAATACATATGCCCTTGGCACAAGGTGCTTTATTCTTTTACTCTGTAGCCTGAACCCTTCTCTAGACTCCTAACAACTAGAGAAACTGGGTAATAGAGATAAAAATCAGTAGGAGTCCTGATGATACCTTTTTCACTAGGTTTAGTCATTCACCATGTGATCTTGGGAGATTTTCTAGGCCTTATACTCATCTTTGAAATAAGAAAGTACTGATGTTAAGTACATAAGTTGTACCAAGTTATCTCTAAGATTCCTTATAGTTCTAAAATCCTCTATGTACATTTTTGTGCACATTAGCCTTCACTCACCAAAAGTAACTTCTACAATCTCTGTTCATTTGTAGGAGTAAATCACAGAGAGGAATATTAAGTTAGGTTACTAATTTTATGTAAGAAAATTAATGTACAGTATGTAGAGTTCGGAAGTACTTCAGGTTTTTTTTTTTTTTTTGTACCGGAGATTGAACTCAGGACCTTGCACTTGCAAGGCAGGCGCCAGAACCACTGAGCTAAATCCCTGGCCCAAATTATTAGGTTTTTTTTTTTTGGTACCAGGGATTGAACTTGGGTCCTTGCACTTGCGCAGCAGGCGGTGAAACCACTGAGCTAAATCCCTGGCCCAAATTATTAGGTTTTTTTTTTTTGGTACCAGGGATTGAACTTGGGTCCTTGCACTTGCGCAGCAGGCGGTGAAACCACTGAGCTAAATCCCTGGCCCTTCAGGTTTTTATAGGGCAGGTAACAAAAATGCCAAATATATAGAATCCTTCCTGTCACAAAAGATTCCCTCTTATCCTGGTCATCTTTCCAGGATAAGTGAAGCCTTATCTCCTAGCTCGGTGATGGTGAACCTTTTAGAGACTCAAACTACAACCCAAAACCTACTTATTTATCGAAAAGTGCCACCACTGCAATTAAACCTGAATACTGAGGTTTTAGTTTAGAAAAAATACTGCATACATTAACATCTTTTTTCTTAAAAGAAAAACCCAATGACACACATGCCACAGATTCACCACCCCTGCTAGCTCCTTAGTTTTAAAGGGACTTGCCCCAGTATTTCATTAAGCAATCCTTGCTATTGTGTTTTGGAATTTCAAATTTCTCCAAGGGTGGAGGATATCAGAATCTCAGAGCAATCTCCCAGATTCCAGAGGGAAAAACAAGAATGTGGGAGGCATTGTGGATAATGATAGGTGATCGGTCACACACAAAACAAAATAGCAACCTGAGAAATACAGCAAAAACAAAGAGGAAGACAAGCCAAGAAATCAAAATTGGGTCCTGTCCAAGAAATCGACCTGTCAGCAGCTGTCAGGGTTAGAATTAAAAGGTCAACTCTGTAATTTTCTGGGGCAGGAGAGTCAGCTCTTCACTTAATCATGTATTCATTGTGCATCAGGCCTTGTAATAGGCCCTGGGGATGAAACAGTAAGGAAGATAGATGCAGTCCCTATCTTCACATAGCTTGCAGAGTAAAATATATTTTCTGAGCACCTACTGTGAATAAGGCACTGTGCTGGACCCTGAGCAGAGAGCCTTTGCCAGCTGCGTCTAAGTCAAAATAGAATCCACACAGCGTCCCTTTTTAGAGGCTTGATTTCATAGAGTATAGGTAAGACAACATCTAGGATGGCCAGGGAAAATAAAGACCCAGTTAAATTTGGATTCAGGAAAACAACAAATAATTGTTTAGTGTATGTAACAAGTTTCAGATAAACAGCAATTTAAAAAGTGTAGTATGGGGCCTGGGGATTTAGCTCAGTGGTTTCGCTGCCTGCTATGCAAGCGCAAGGACCGGAGTTCGATCCCCAGTACCAAAAAAGAAAAAGTGTAGTATGTTTCATGTAACATTTAGAAACAACTAAATGTTTCATGTAACATTTAGGAATTATTGGGTGGGGGATTTATCTTAGTGGAGACACTGGCAAGTGCCAGGTCCTGAGTTCGATCCCCGGTACTAAAAATAAATAAATAATTAAATAAAATACTTCATAGTGTTTATATAGATGTACAGTGCATATATCTATGAATACACCCCCATAATCAGAATAATAAATATATTCACCATTCCCAAAAGTTTTCTTGCGCTTCTTTGTAATCCTTCTCACCTACTGCCTAGGCAACCACTGATCTGCTTCCTATCACTATAGATTAATTTGCATTTTCTAGAATTTTCATGAATGGAAGAATACAGTATATACTATTTTTAGACAAGTGCTCTATCACTGAGCTACATCCCCAGACCTAGTATATACTATTTTTAAACTGAACTATTTCACTTACTATGTTTCTAACTTTTATGTCCTTTTTCTTTTTCTTGCCTTGTTGCACTGAGTGAGGACTCTAGTACCATATTAATCAGTGGTAAAAGTGAATGCTTTGGGGATATAGCTCAGTGGTGCTGTGCCTGCCTGACAAGCACGAAGTCCTGAGTTCTATTTCCAGTACTAAAAGTGAATGCTTTTTTTCTGAACTTGGAGGGAAAGCATACAACCTTTCACCCTTGAGTGTGATAGACGTTTTTATAGAGGCCCTTTATTGGATTAAGCAAATTCTCTTCTGGTCCTGGTTTGCTGAGTTGTTTTTTTTTGTTTTTTGGTTTTTTTTGGTACCAGGGATCGAACTCGGGATCTTGAGGTTGCCAGGCAGGTGCACTACCACTGAGCTAAATCCCTAGCCCTTGATGAGTTTTAATTATGAAAGAATTTTGAACTTTCATCCTTTTGCTGTATCTGTTGAGATGATCAAATGGTTTTTCTTTTTAAAATTTACCAATAGGATGAATTACCCTGACTGATTTTCAAATGTTGCATTTTGCGGTACTTGGTCATGATATATTATCCTTTTAATATACTGTATATAACTTACTAATATTTTGTCAAAGATTTTGTCTTTTCAAAGTGATGTTGGTATGTAACTTCTTTTTCTTGTAATGTTTTTGATTTTTGTTTTTCAGAAAAGGATTTTTAGAATTTTTATTTTGAAGTGTATTTTACTGGTATAAGGGAGTGGTATTATTATTATTATTTTTTTTTTACGGTACCAGGAATCGAACTCAGGACCTTGTGCTTGTGAGGCAGGCATGGTGCCACTGAGCTAAATCCCTGGCCCTTTTATTTATATTATATATAGGAATAATAAGTATTTGTTAGGTATAGTAACTACTTATTAAGCAGGGTGTGATGGTGCACACTTTTGCTCCCAGCACTTGGGAGGTAGAGGCAGGAGGATCACTGCAAGTTCAAAGCTAGCCTGAGCTACATAACGAAGACTGTCTCCAAAATAATACCAGGATATAATAACCACTTATAAGTTATTATACCAAGTTCCCTTGAACTACTTATATTGACAGTAGTTTTCTTCTTTTTTTTCTCCTGAGTTCTTCTCATTCTACCCCTTTTGCCAGTGCTTTCTGCTATAAGAGCTTTTTTTTTTTTTTTTGGCCACTTTTCTGTAGCTTTTTATTTCTCCTCTATTTTGCTCTTTTTGTTTGTTCTAAACTTTTGCTGTTCTAGTCTTCTGCCTTTTTTTTTTTTTGGTACTGGGGATCGAACTCAGGAGCCTGTGCCTGCAAGGCAGGCAGCGGAACCACTGAGCCAAATCCCCAGCCCTGCCTTTTAATCTCTGCATTCATTCATTTATTCATTCAGCAAACA